TTTTATTGGTCGACCCAATCTTCTTCTGGTCCTTGGGTTTTTGATTCAGGAGCCATCGATCATATTACTCGGTAACAAATCTTTGTTCTCCTCTTTATCTTCTCCCGATCCTTTACCTTTTGTTACACTAGTCGATGGCTCTAGAGTATCATCTCATGGTGTTGGAACTGTTAAACTTTTCCCTTCTTTAACCATTGATAATGTTCTTTATGTCCCTGGGTCTCCTTTTAACCTCGTTATCCATCGGTCGTCTAACTCGTTCTCTTGATTGTGTTGTTTCTTTTACCAACAATTCCGTGTGTTTACGGGACCGGAGTTCGAAACGTGTGATTGGCACAGGATGTGAGTCTCATGGTCTTTATCATCTTCGTCCCTTTACACATGTTGGTGCGGTTATAGAGTCTCCCTCTCTTCTCCATGCTCGGTTAGGTCATCCAAGTCTTGCCAAGTTACGAGCAACTTGTCCCTGCCTTATCTAAATTGTCTAGTTTGGCATGTGAGTCGTGTCAATTAGGCAAGCATATTCGTACTTCCTTTCCTCGTAGTGTCACACGTGGTGCTTCGTCCCCTTTTGCCGTGGTTCACTCGACATTTGGGGACCTAGCCGCGTTAAGTCTACTTTAGGTTTTCAATACTTTGTTACTTTCATTGATGATTATTCCGGATGTACTTGGTTATTTTTGATGAAAAATCGTTCCGAATTATTTCATATCTTTCAAACTTTTTTCAATGAAATTCAAACTCGGTTCGGTGTTTCTATTAGAGTTTTGCGCAGTGATAATGGTCGTGAATATCTTTCTCATTCTTTTAAACAATTCATGGCTTCTCATGGTATTTTGCATCAAACTTCTTGTGCTTATACACCTCAACAAAATGGTGTAGCTGAACGTAAAAATAGACATCTTATTGAAACAACTCGCACTCTTTTAATTCATGGAGAGGTTCCTCAGCATTTTTGGGGTGATGCTCTTCTTACTGCATGTTATCTTGTTAATCGCATGCCATCTTCGGTTCTAGATAATAAAATACCTCATTCCATTTTATTCCCTCATGAACCACTTCATCCCTTACCTCTAAAAGTTTTCGGGTCTACATGTTTTGTTCATAATTTTAGTTCTAGTCTTGACAAGCTTTCTCCTAGATCACATAAATGTGTTTTCTTAGGGTTTACAAGATCACAAAAAGGATACAAATGTTTTTCTCCTTCTCTTAACAGTTATTTTGTGTCTGCAAATGTCACCTTTGATGAGTTCTCTTTTTATTTTAAAAGTCAATCTTCACCTCTGTCTCCATCCAATATTGTCAACACTCCTAGTACATTTAATGTTCCTGTTGTTTGTGACCCTCTAATTGTGTCTTCTTCACCATTAGATTCTACTCCGCAGTCAACTTCTTCTTCACTACCTCTTCAGGTTTATAGTTGCCGAAACCAATCACAACCACCACCATGTGACTCTACTCAAGTGCCAACTACTCTGTCTCCTCCGAATGTGACATCTGAGTCTGACCTTCCCATTGCCCTCCGAAAAGGTATCCGTTCTACACGTAATCCCTCTCCTCATTATATTGGTTTGAGTTATCATCGACTGTCATTACCTTTTTATACATGTCTTTCCTCTCTTTCTTCTGTGACCATTCCAAAAACTGTCCGTGAAGCTTTAGCCCATCCTGGTTGGCGTCAGGCCATGTTAGATGAACTAAGTGCTCTTCATAATAGTGGAACTTGGGATTTGGTCTCGTTACAGTCCGGGAAATCTGTTGTTGGTTGCGGGTGGGTGTTTGCTATCAAAGTTGGACTCGATGGTACTATTGATCGCCTCAAAGCACGTCTTGTGGCCAAAGGTTATACTCAAATTTTTGGTTTGGATTATGGAGATACCTTTTCCCCTGTGGCAAAGATGACTTCTGTTCGTTTATTTATCGCCATGGCCGCTCTTCAACAATGGCCTCTTTATCAACTAGATGTTAAAAATGCTTTCCTCAATGGTGATTTGCAAGAAGAAATCTATATGGAGCAACCTCCTGGGTTTGTTGCTCAGGGGGAGTCTTCTGGGATGGTATGTCATCTTCGCAAATCCCTATATGGCCTAAAACAGTCTCCTAGGGCCTGGTTTGGAAAGTTTAGCAAGGTTGTTCAACAATTTGGTATGACTCGGTGTGAAGCGAGATCACTCTATCTTTTATCGACACTCAAGTGCTGGATGTGTTTACTTGATAGTATATGTTGATGACATCGTTCTTACGAGTAGTGACAACCATGGCATCTCTCAGTTGAAACAACATCTCTGTCACCATTTTCGAGACCAAAGATCTTGGCAAACTTAGATATTTCTTGGGTATTGAGGTGGCACAGTCCAATGATGGTATTGTTATATCTCGGAGGAAGTATGCCATGGATATTTTAGAGGAAACTGGGTTGATGAATTCAAAGTCCGTTGATACGCCCATGGATCCCAATACTAAACTTTTACCAAATCGGGGGAGCTTTTACCCGATCCTGAACGAGTATAGAAGATTGGTTGGAAAATTGAATTATCTTACGATTACTCGTCCCGACATTTCCTTTGCGATCAGTGTGGTAAGCCAATTTCTTAATTCCCCATGTGAAGATCATTGGAATGCAGTCATTCGTATCTTAAAGTATATTAAAAGATCTCCTGGAAAAGGATTGTTATATGATTCTAATAACCATACAAGAGTTGTTTGCTACTCGAGATGCTTGATTGGGCAGGATCTCCTTCGATAGAAGATCTACATCCGGATATTGTGTCTCCATTGGCGGTAACTTGGTCTCATGGAAAAGTAAGAAACAAAGTGTTGTGGCAAGATCTAGTGCGAAGCGAGAATATAGAGCTATGGCCTCAGCTGCTTGTGAACTTGTTTGGCTCAAGCAATTGCTTAGAGAGTTACAATTTGGAGATGTCACTCAAATGTCACTTGTGTGTGACAATCAGTCGCTTCTTCATATTAGTTCTAATCCTGTCTTTCATGAGAGGACCAAACACATTGAGATTGACTCGTCATTTCATTCGAGAAAAGATTATGTCTGGAGACATCAAGACTGAGTTTGTTAACTCAAGTGATCAGTTAACAGATATTTTTACTAAATCTTTACGGGGTCCTAGAATTGATTATATTTGTAACAAGCTTGGCACATACGATTTGTATGCTCCAGCTTGAGGGGAGTGTTAGATATTGTTTAGATATTATTTAATATTGTTAAGATATTGTTAGATATTAACCATAATATCAAACAATATCTTCTTTTTATTCTGTTACTTTCAGTTACTCTTTTAGTTGTATCTCTCTACTATAAATAGACTACCCTATGTGTGATTTATACACAAGGGAGATTAATCCCAAACTCTATTTCTTCTATATTCAACAGTAGGTGGAGATATTTTTAACTAATAGATTTTTTCAATATAAATACATGTAAAGAATTTTGTTCACCTTCAAAACGAGTTCTTAACAAAAGTTATTTGGTAATAAAATTGAATATTTTATTATCTTATAATTGAGTTACTTAAAATTGATTTATATTTAAGTAATTTTTTTATATTTTAAGTAAATTTTTCATTTTTAAATAAAAATCCACAATAAAATATTTACTTTTGATAAAATATTTACTTTTATTTTTAAATAACTTTTGGTGTAGCAACTCTTTTAAAGATATTCTAAATAACTGTCTTACCCATATACAATAGACCTTAAAGAGAATATAAAAAATTAAGCTAGGTAGTTTTTTTTTTAATTTCTTTTAATTAAAACAAAGACGTTTGAGTGGTAGGTGGAGAAATTATAATATTGTAAAACTCGATGATTATGTTGTGAGCAAATTCTAACATTAAGAAATAAGATTAAGATTCTATTCAATATATAAGTTGTTTTTTCTTCTTAATTTCCTCGTATCAATAAAAGGGTAAACAAAATTATTGTTAAAGATTTTACTTTTCTGATTTTAGTTTCTTGACACGTGCATCACCATTGTTAAGGCTTAATTCTTGGAGAAAGAATATATTGTGTTTACCAAAACAAAACATTGGTAACAACAATACTTAAGAAGAAGAAACAAGATATACTTTAGTTTCACACATTATAGGATGATGAGGAGTTATAGGAACCTCTTGAGCCACGAGAATTTGGTAGTGTTGCTAGCTGCAACTGTGTTAAGCACACACATTTGCGCATGCATTCTGATAAGATGGCTCCATTTGTCCAAGTGGAAAGTCCTCACAAACACACATGCACCACCATGAACTCAAAAGAGGTGACAGTTCAACCAAACCTGTATACTTTTTCCTACGCACCAAATTTCAAATCCACCTTCTCACTGGTTTTCAACTATCGTGACCTGTAAAAAGGGAATACAAACATTTGAAAAATCAAAAGAATTGTAAGCATGCACCGTGTAACAGATTCTACATACAATGCAAACATAGAATCATCAAAACCGTGTGAAACAACGAGTTCAACGTCGACGTGCATGTCAATATGTTCAGATTCTAAATTTACTTCAAATATGAGTACAATGAAGTGTATGACGTAAATTCAAATTTTTATAAGATTGAAATAGGTGTTAAACTCAATTTCGAACTAACCTTTCTCTTTCTGTGTCAAAGTTTAACATTTGGAACCATCAGTAACAGTACAAAGTCAAAATTTAGCAGTACTGGAAGAATTCAAAGAAACCAATTCATTCTCTGCACGTGGAAACTTGCGGCAAGTCATAATTAACCCTACGCAAATTTTCAAATAAGATGCCACGAAATACATAAGAATTTGGCCAAAGTCAAATCATCTTGCAGCTTTTAAGGACCCATTAGGAAAGAGCTACACCGTCTCTACCAGAAACTTTTTTTATATAAACCATGTAGCATCTCGTAGTTTAGACCAACCTAACACAACACTGGAGCAACAACTGCATACACTGTAACATTTCTTGGCTCTTAGAGAAGGGAATCGATTACTGAAGAATAGTACTGTTTGTAAAAGCGAAGATGTTGATGAAGAAGAGCCTTTGGATTATGATGGTTATCACAGTGGTTGTGGTGTCATCACAATTCTGCTTTGTGCATGGAAGAGTCCTTCGATCAGAGGCGTTAAAGACACCCATAGGTGACGGTTGTGAGGACTTCAAAGGAGAGCTTGGAATGGCAACATTTGCTGTTGCTTCTAACAACTCCAGAACTCGTCAATTTGCACAAAGCTTGGCATATAAACTAGCTTCTGGACCAAGCAAAAAGGGTCCTGGACATTAGCCTTGTTTCATTTCAGTACGGCTTACATTCCACATTAATTTGTTTCAATTTTCTTCCATTTTTTGTTTCGAATTTGTTCTTTCTTTCTTGGTCTCTGACTCGATGTTGGGTCTCTCTCTTCTTTTCTATCTTTTGTTTTTGTACTTCCTTCACGTACATTAATCTGATATACATGATTATAGTGTGCAGAAGCTGATTGTAAAAACAATCTGTTACACATTTCTGAATATAAACATTTCATTATTTTTCTTCTCATCACAAGAATGTTTCATGAGGGTGTATGTTAACAAGAAAAATCAACTGAAAAAATGCAGAACCTCTTAAGTATTTGCTTCCTACGATGTGCATAAACATTGACGCAAAGGCAAAACAAAGACGATCTAAATCATCATCTATTACTTTTATATTTCTCTCCATGGATATATGAATTTTGTACTATTACTGTTGAAGTCTTTATATATCAACAAGGCTATGCAAAATGCATGATGTTTAAATTATAACAAGCCATTGCATTCATTATGATATGCAAACAACTATATATATGAACACAAAAAAACGAAACATACTTAGCACAAAGGGTTTAGCTTGGTTCAAGACTGGTTTCAATACTAATATGAAATGTAATTGCGGATGATTATCACTGATAAAATTTTAAAGGTTATTATAATGTTACCTAATCTTATGATTGGGACAGAATTATCTCGATATTCTTTTTAACATCTTTTCTGAAGGTTGATTAAAGTGAAGGAAATAAAAAATAAAATAAAAAAATTATTGGGAAAGATTGAAAAAAGTTATAGCTGATGCGTGTACTGAGAGTGTAACACCGTTTATTTCATCATTAATCATACACTGTTATATTATGGTAATTCGATGAATTTTATAATATAAAATACCTTGAAATATGATAAACTAAGAGTGTTGAAACAAATTGTCTGAATGTATTGAGTGATCAAAATGGACAGTGTTAATTGTTGAATTTTAAACTAAGTTCTTATGCCAACTTTGATAGTTAAATTGCTGCTGCTCATATCAGAAATTTAATTTGTAGTTGTTTTATCCTCAATTTTAAAAAATCTCAAAGAATAGAAAGAAGTAGTCAGATTTTTTTTGGTTCGTATGTTTACTGAGAAATCTCAGATCTGATTAAGGCATTAGATATCAAAGTCAAAGATAAGATCCGGAAGACAGGTACTGAGGATGACATTCCCCTGCACCCATGCTTGGAAATGTTGACCTGGCGTAACAACTTTCTTGTAGCACGAAATGAAGTCTACATAATATTTTGGACTCTATTCAAAACATTATTTTGTTTATTTAAATGAAAAAACTAATCATATTTTTATTCATAAATCTTAAGTTAATTTATACATATTCTTTCTAATTCTTCTAAACACCTTTTAATAATAAAATTATAATTGAAAAGAATTATAAAATGAACAATATTTCAAAATAATAGATTCTACTAATATTATCATTGTATATTAACAATCTTATTTTTATACAAAATAATAATAATATTTTTTAAAGAGAATTGAGTATAAATAAAAATAAATATTTTATTATATATCTTATATTATTTAAAATTAAATAAAATTGTTTAAAATTAAAAAAAAACTCATATAAATAATTCTAATTAACTTTTAAACAACTTATTTATAAAACTTATAATAAAATATTTATTTTTATTTTTAAATAATTCTTAAAAAAAAGTCTCTTTTTTAAGATGGCGTGAAGCTTGTGTTTATTTAATGTGAATGTGAAGCAACAAATTATTTCTTCAACCCTTTTGTGCTAAGGAAGCAACAAATTATTTCCTCAATTGTACCCAAAAGAAATATTAAATAGAAGACGGTCAACTTAATGGATTAATTTCTCTTGGTTTATTTCTCATTCTCACATTAATCTTATAAATAGTTTTGTTTGTGTTGAATATAAGATAATAGAATAATAATATTTTTAATATAATAACAAAATTAAACAACTCACATATTGAAATTAATTTTATGTTGGAAACATGAGTAAAAAATTAAGTTATTTTCAATTATTATCTTACACTAATAATTATCATTTTACGGTGGATTAAAATATCATTTATTTCATCTACATATTTTTAGTTATTGTCTTAACAACTTAAAAATTGTCATTGTAGGTCAAAATACTCTTTATATGGTTTAATAGACTTCCTTGAAGTGAAAAGACTATTATCATTATTTCTTTTTAAGTTTCATTAATCTCACATTCAATTGATTCTAACTTAATAACAAGGAATGCCATTAATTTTTTATACATATTAATGGATGACATTAACTAGTAATCAACTTAGGTAATGAATGAGCATATAGAAGGTGAAAGAGTGGCTGTGACAGCATGAATGGGAGAGTTACCAATATTTGGGTGAGAAAATGTTGAAAGTCCAACCTACACCACAGGTCAAATTCTTGACTGTCAAAAGTGATCCATACATAGCATCAGGAAGAACAGCTATGTATGCTGTCTCAACCTTCACTTTATAGGCTCCAAATGCAATCAAAAGCAAACATTATGACATGTCTACAACACTTGGCTAAACTACTAGTCCAAATTTGCCTTCATACTTAAACCTTATGACCCTTTTATATATTCTTCTTTTCTACTCCAACAATAATGTGAAAATTATTCTTCACATACTGTCACCATGACATAACTCCAGAAAATGAAATTCAAAAATTGAGATGCCTTCAGCAATATCAACCACTCCATGGTCTATACTATCACACAAAAATACCCTCATGTCACTAATGAAACTAAGTGTTGTTGTGAACACGTACAACCACTCCATGGAAAGCTAAAATCTCACATCAGAAGGGTTTATGATCCAACCATGCATATGGGATTGGAGCATCACAAGGATATAAGACAATTTGTGTAGACATGCATACAATTCGTTAATATATATATATATATATATATATATATATATATATATATATATTAAATGGAGCACCTTTCATCTCCTTAAATCACAAATGTGGTCACAACTTAAAGAAACAAAGAGACGATCTTAAATGTGACGCACATAATCCAATGAAGATATAATTGATGCAGTATAACACGTGATAACACCATCAACTCTAAAGTGCAGGCAGTACAAAAGCAGCACCACTGTTGTCGCCGTTGATCGGAATCTTAGCATATGATTGATTCAAACAAGCAGTAAACAATTTCTAAACATATAACATAATAGCAACTGATGATCAGTAAGTTCATCCTCTCATGGATTTAAATATTAACAACGGCACACTTACAACATCAACTAAAATAAAGTACATTAATTTAACAATTTGATTGAATACACTCATATTTACTTTGTCAACAAATCCTGTGCTGTCTTATTATTTTGTGATAATAATTTAAGTCATGCATAGGGTGTTATCCCCTCACAACATTTCTGAAAACACAGAGCTTAACTACAACAACCTAATCAAAATACGGCTTTGAACTCCAATCCTGAATTGCCATAGCATTGAAAATCATTGACTTTTATCCTAAATAAATACTTTAAGGTGATATGTAGGGTGTCATCTTATTGGTTAACAGTGTGATGGTGTATCAAAATTAAACTCCTTCGATTATGACAGAGGTAATCCGCAGAAATATAACATTCACAGGGTACATAATAAAGATTCAATCAATGTACATTGTCTCCGAACTCGTGATGGTATCTACATTCTAAAATACTACCTCCATGTAAACAGAAGAAAAATCAATTGGCACAAAAGAGAGAAACCAGCATCACTATCTAACTATTACTAAACATCTCTGATATATCTCTCAGTTAAGTCACCAACAAACACTTTTAATCGCGCACAAAAAACTGACAAGCTCTATTCATTATACACTATACGCAATAACCAGAAAAATTTAAAATAAAATTGATGGATTATTAGGACAGAAATAAAGTTCCTTAAATTCTTATGGTGTTGTTCTTCGATCAAGTGTGGAAATTCATCGTTTGAATTAATGGTAACACAGATTACCGAGATAAAATTTTAATTTTCATCAAGACCAAATGGACATGTATCTAAATGCATTGTTACTGTTATTAGCATAATTTGATGCAACAAAAGCATACGCACACACACAAGAGACTATAAAGTTAGGAAAGAGACAGATTTTCATACGAATTTGAATAAGCCATAGTAAGTCATTTTCCATGCACCCATGTCTCCAGTTCTACAATCTCGCAGAACACATAACTATTCGGAGACGACGGTGGCGACGCCTTCTACGGCAGCTGGATCCGGCGGAGCTCTAGCCTTGACAGTGTCGAGCATGCGCTTGCTGATCTCCTTGGAGTAGAACTGGAGGGTCTCAATGCCGTCAGCGGAAGTCACGGCGGAGGCATCGGCGGTTGAGAAGGCGTCATCCTCGATCTGGTGGGCGGCGGCGGAGGCTTCATCGAACGTGAGAGTGCCGTAGCGTTTGGAGAGGACGGAGGGGGCGGAGAGGGTCTCGATGAGGCGGTTGACGACGGCGTCACGGGTGCGCTGAGTGGGGGGCCATATGGTGAAGGAGAGGGCGGCGGAGGGGTCGATCTGCGGCGTAGTGGAGGGTTGGTCGCGTGTGGTATCGGAGTCGGACATTGTTTCGAGGAAAAAGGGTAACGTGGGATTTGTGTCTGTGGAAGAAGAGTAGCTTTCCAAGTGTGGAAAATAAGGGATATATTTGAAATCAACAATTGTTGTTGTCTTGTTTTGTGTTTTTTTTTTTTTTTTTTTTTTTTTTTGGGTGAGGGATGGGATGTTGGATCAACAAGTGACCGTTGGGTTGCCTTGTAAGGGAAATCTATGAGTGAGTGGGGACCTTTAAACCTTTTTCCTTTATCATTTTCTTTTTATTTGAAATCACATTTAGTTTTTTTCGGCTTAATGGCTAATGTATTAGTCTAAAAAAATTAACAAGGTAAATTAATTATAAATCTTTGTTGATATGTGTAGGAAAACTGTAAAGTCTCACCAAAGATTAAAAGTTAAAAAAAAAATGTTTGTAAATTTTGAGTTAAATATAATATTCAATTTATTTGAATGATTTGGCTATGAATGGTGGTTGGAGATCGTTTTAGTATTTTATTCTTTTGCAATTCTCTGTAAGAGACTTGTTTGATTTAGTGATGAACTTATCCTTCATAGAATTGGAGTTGTAAAATTATTTTTTTAATAAAATAGAGAAAATATAAGACTGGTGAATTAGATTAATGCAATTTAAAAAAATCTATTTATAAAAGTAAATATGATAATTTTGTATTTGAAAAAAAATCACATTATTATCATAAAAAAATAATTGTATAATTATAATAAACTAATGAAAGGAAATTTGTATATAAAAATAAGTTTTCACTTATCACTTTTAATTACATATGAGTTATTTAAAATTTATAACTAAAAATAAAAATAAAAATTTGAAAGGATCATAGTCTTTTTATCTATAAACATTATCTAATATGTAAATATCTAATATGTAAATATGAAATAGTAGTAATTCAAAAAATTTAGTTTCTTCTAATCTAGTCTTTAATCTACCTTAATTTGAACAAGTAATTTTTATTTTGCTCGGTTTATGAAGTTTTTGAAAGAACTAACCATCATGATAATTTTATTCTTTCTAATTTTAGTGAGACAAAAAAACTTGTAAGAAAATGTGGTTTATCAAGGATAAAAATATGTTTTAATAGTGAAAACATGATCGTACAATGAAAAAAATGCAACCAACTTTAACATAAAGTAATGATGAATGCAAATAAACCTTTAAAGATATTCTTTATAAATATTACATTACTTGTGAATCGTTATTATCTACGTACCTTATAATCATGTTTTTAGGAGAAATAAGAATATTTTTACAAAATAAAATTGAGAAAAAAGAGACTCCTCTCAAGTTAAGTGGTGAACAAATATGAGATATAGTTTCTAAACTTCCTAAATCAACCGAAGTGAAAATATGTCATTTTCCAAGTCATGAATATTTTCATAACTAGACAAATATAAGAATATTTTAAAATTTGTCATATTGAAAACACAATCTATTGAGACATAATTTAAATGTTATGCACATAGAAAATAATTCTTTTAAAAATATGTATTGTATTGTTACAACAGAAAGAAAATAAAAAACAATGAGGATGACCAGTTGAACTTGGCAATGTAAAATGTATAAAGTCTAAAGCCAAGTTTTATATATCAAATGAAAAAAAAATGATGTGTCATGAATGGGTGAAGTTTAAGGATACGATGATTGTAATTCCAATACTGTTAGATGTGTTAGATTATGAGATGTAAAGTCACATTTGTCATATTTTTATTAAATTTTTTTCAATAACTTTGGGGAGTTCTTCCTAAACTTATACAAAAATCTTTTATTGATCTTAATTAATTGTTGAAAGACTTGTATCCAGTAGTATTACAAGAAGATGATTTGTTACAAATAAAACAAAACATTCATGTAATATTGTGTAAGTTAGAGCGCATATTTTCATTTATATTTTTTGACTTTGTGAAGAACCTACTAATCATTTGCTTTTTGAAGCTAGGATGGGTTGATTAGTTCAATATTGTTTGATGTATCAATTTGAAAGCTAATAATTTATTATACCATTTTATATCAATGTCATTATAATATTTATCAAATAATTGATATTACATTTTTTATTCTAAAATATTTAAATAAATAAAAAATAAAAAACAAAAAAAAGTACGGAAGAACTTATTTATTAATTTGCTACAAAATACATCTTATTTTAGCTCTCACTATTTTGTGTTTCCTATTTGTAAAGACAATAGGGTATATCAAAATCATATTCAACAAATTTTGTCTATATTTAAATCATTATGATAAACAAATAATAAATATAAAGAAATATAACTTAATCATAAACAAATATCAATTTTTTAATTACATATTATTTTGAATTGTAACAATATTAAATCAATTATGGAATAAGTATTAAATATTACATATACATTATAAATAACTATATCTAATTAAACATAGTTTATATATATATATATATATATATATGAGAATCTAATATTATTAATAATATAATACTCTTAAGTTCAACGAAATTTATTTGTAGTTTTACACAAAAGGTTGTACATCATAGTTCAAAATTCCCATAAGCTAATTAAGAAAAATGAAAAATTTGTTTTATTTTCCTCTGGAAAAGAAACTATTTACCTTTAAAAAGAAATCAATTTTCTGGTTTATTTATGATCTCTTGTTTCTTATTATATTAATTCATTAACATTTTTTTATGGATTTTGTTTAGCGTTAATTTTATGATTTATTTTTATATCTTTTATTTAATTGCATATATTAGGCATTGTTAAGCTTACATAAATATGAGAGGACAAATGAACTATTTGTAAGCATATTTGCTACAACTTACAACATGCATCAGGACTATTATTTATTTTGATTAATATCACAATTATAATAATTTATATATATATATATATATATATATATATATATATATATATATATAATCTCAACTTATTTATTTTTTATTTTTATATCTACCTCTATTTCAATTTTTGTTTTGACTTCCATCCAATTTTGAACCCTCTACTTATATCTTAACCTCTAACTCCTAGACCTACCTGCACATTCAACTTCTCTAACTATATCTCAACTTTCAATTCCTCTACTTTCTTCACCTATATCTCAATCTGTTCCTTAATTCTCCCAACATTAATTCATTCTTATTCAAGTTTATCAAATGAACAATTTTATTAAAACTTTAATCTTATTAATTTATCCATGCATAGATAATAATTGATGAGTCCCTAGTTGTTCGAGAGGTGGGAGAGGTTATCTCTAAGAGGATCACTAGAAACATGATTATAAGAGAGATCGCCATCTCCTCCTTATCTTCGACTTTGAATTTTCTTGCATTTTTATTTCTTAAATTTTTAGAGATTCATTGTTGTACTTTTTTGTGTAGAACTACTTTATGCACCTTTGTTTTAAGATCACTACCTTTTTTTGATGGAAAAAAAGGTTTGGACATATAAGGTGTTGCATGGGTTGCCCAAAGGTGTATGAAACTTTTTTTTCATGTCTTACACCCTTTTTTGAAGACGAAGAAGCTTGGACTACAGGTTTGGCAAGTTTGAGACAACCAAAGGAAAGCACACCTTTTGTTTTCATGTTCTCCACACCCTTAGAGATATTTTTGGTGGAATATGATAAATTTAACATATTTGGGTCATGAGGGCTCTTAGCCTTTAAGTTTAGATTGAGTTTATGTCTCATTTTGTAATTTCATCTAGGTCCATCCCCCAAAAGCCTATAAATAGAAGGTTTCTCCTCATATAATTAAGTTAAATATTTATGACAAGTGTATGAGGTTTCTTAGAGAGTTTTATCTCTTTGAATGTCTTATCTTGCACTTTAGTTTAAGTGACGACAATCACCACTTATTTAAGGTGGTTCATCCCCTAGTGATATGTCAATACTCCACCACCACTTATTTCTTTTCTATTCATCTTTATTTCTTTATTTCTTCACATTATTTACGTATCCAAGGGGTTGGTCCATTTGTCCAGTCCTTGTCTTTATTTTTTTTCTAGTTTCTTTCCATCTCTTCTTCCCTCTTAATCCTTAAAAATGAACCTACATATCTATATAGATAATTATCTTAATGTTCATTGAAATTTTTTTTAAAATTTGTTTATTTTATTTCTTAAGATTTTACACCTTATTTTCTTAAAATTCTACACCATATTAATAATGGAAAGAAAATCTTCGCGTAGACAGGATGTGTGATTCATTTTTGTTGGTGACATTTTTTATCTTTTAGCCTATGATAACATTTTTGTTGTTTGACTTTTTAATTATTTTTTTACAAGCACAAGTTAGCAGATGATTGAATTGCTTCAACATCATGGAAGAAGTTATCCAAATATCAAAAGAACTCATAGTTTAACTAAACAAACTTTAACCTTTGATTAAAATTATTCTATAATTTTTTTTGAAAGGTGTCTAAAGTTATTATTTTGTTGTCATAATCAATTTAGTTAAAATTTTCTTAATTACCTCAATGTAATGGAACGGTGTGACTTAACTTTGAGAAAGAGAAAAAAAAACGCATCAATAATACATCTATTCACACTAGAGAAATTCTTTATCTCTTACATTGGAAATAATAATAATATTAATTTATTATTAACTTTATAATTGAAATTCCAAAATTAAATATACTAAACGTTCTTCTTAATCAACTATAGAAGAAAAAAAAAAGCAAATTCATTATTAACTAACTTTTATTTTCATACGCATAAGAGAAAAACTGTCAAAATTAGATCGATCTTCATACAAATTTTTTTTTTTAGTTTTCAATTATTTATTTGATTTTGAATTAAGTTTTAAAAAAAATTCCTTCATTAATTATTTCCATTTATAGGATAAATTTGAATAGTGAAAAGTGAGTTAATATCTAGAAGTGAGAGGAAGGATAAGGATAGTGAAAAATCTGATCAAATACCATTTGACTTTGACATATGGATTGATTTAACTGGGAATAAATAGAAGGATATTTGGTCTTGAATTTTGAGCAAAGTTTCATTCTCAAATCAACAATCACATTCTAAGGGAGATGATACTTTGAGTCAAATTCAAGCATGAATCATTACAAAGACAAAAACAATAAGAAAATATAAATAATGCAAGAATTGTTAATATATATGGAGAAAATATTCTTTCTACAATAGTTTTAAATTTTCATAAATTTACATGATCAAGAACATGCAATATAAGTTATTATAATTTTTTGCGCAGAAACCTTTATGAAGCATGCAAATTATTTATAATGCCTTCTCAGTTACTTTTGTTCTAAAGGCAAAAAATGATAAACGATAAATGATAAAAGAATTGTTGTTATGAGCTTATTTATAATTTAATTTATTCAGACAAAATTTAATATTTTTTAATTAAATATAAATATTAAACATTAGTAGAGACTCACATCTGTATAATAACTTTTAATTATGTCATTTTAATAGTATAACAAATATAAAAATGTCTTTCATATAATTATGTCATTTTGATAGTATAATAAATATTAAATATTAAATATTAGTAGAGACTCTTCATGCCTTTCATATAATTTTAAATATTAAATATGTAGATGTCATTTAGAACTGATTTGTCCATTCATTGAATTTCTAGTGCCAAATTGGGTTCATTGTTCCTTTTTCTTTTTGCCCCTTATCTGTCTAGCTTCAATGGGCCAAGCCCATTGAATTTGGTTGGCCGAATTTTAGGTTAGTGTTATTTACACCTCTCAGGTTTGTTAATATACCTCCATTTTGTCTATAAAATAGTCATTTTTGGCAGAAACCGAGAACTTTAAGATCATTGTTGACAAAAGAGACCGGTTTGTGTTCAGCTTTGTAATAACAAAACGTATCCAATATAAAGGAAAATGCTTTTAGATTTCACATAAGCACATGAATGCTTGACCTTCTTTATGACTCCAATTAGAATTTCCTTTAAGAATTGAATTGCTGTTTTACTGTGTTTGTGTAGAAAACGTTATCTGGGTAGAACCATATATAGCTACAAATACAAAACAACATCTGGGTCAATGGACCAGAAAATTGGCACGTGCTCATGTTGCAGCAAGTGAAACACACCCTTGAATTTTAGTGCTCATGCCTCGACATGCAATGAGTCATGTTCCAACATGGTTGCATGAGTTGAAAAGTTGGTTTTTTGAGCTTGTAATCACACCATTGTTTATTGCATTATTTCCTTAATCTTTTAGTACTTTAACAAACCTTTATGGACATCTACTTTTCTTTTCTTTTTCTTTTTTTTTCCCCAAAGTGACTGTAATTTTAATTCTTTTTTAAAAGATAACCCATTTATCAAAAGATTAAGTTTATTTTTAAAAAATCATTTAAACAATTAACATTTTAATATTATTATTCCTTGTCTGTTTGAACAATCTCAAACTACTGTCATCTCTAGAAAGAATTGAATCTCAACAACTTAATTAATGCAAAAACTAAATTTAAGAACACATCGTTACTTGTAACAGGTTAAAAAATATTCAATCATTTTCAAACAACTCAAATGTATAAACTATCACTCACTCCCACGTTACATAATATATAGTTTGTCATCGACAAGTGTGATCCCTCACTCTTCACTGAAACAAATTCTATGGATTCCACCTATGTTTTAGTTGATGTTGATGGAATCATAACCATAAGCAGACCCCAAATGTAGAGAGACATAAAGTGATTACAACAGAGCAATAAAATCACAAAAATACATTAATTGAATTCCAGATATTAAAATTGCTACCTTAGGCTGAGTTATGACTTCATCTTACACCATGTCCTAGTTTCAATCTTTATGCATTCTGTGATGCAGAGTTATCAACTAATCTAGATAACAGGAGATATATATAGATTAAGGTTTATTTTTTTAGAGCTACCACCATCATTTCATGGTGGGAAATAAGGCAATTTGTAGTTGTTAGATCAAGCCTTGAAGATTGAAGCTTAGTTTCAAATCAACACAAATGGTTAAGATTATCTGGATTCAAGATATGCTTAAGGGTATGCTTGGTTTCGTGTTTAGTAGGTGAGACATGTCTAAAATACATTGTGGCCTCATACTACTTGATAATTTATTGTAATAAGAGAGACGTGATATAAGGTAAAGTCCAGAGTGGATTTCCAAAAACTCACTAAGGACTTGAATGTCCGAACACTAATGGCAAGTGGCAACCATACACTGCAATAATCTTGGTATTGTTATGCTGACATGATCCAATTCTACATATCTGGACAAAACATATAAAATTCCACCGTTTTACTTTCAAAAGCATCCGAAATTTTGTCATATTCCTAGTATATGGATCAAAGGAGTGATGCACTTACAAAACCCCTCTAGCTCCAGAGCAGTCAGAGAGTAGTAACAATTCTGTTGTTGTGGCTGAGTACATGAATCTTAGCTACTTTAGCTGCACTGTTTATGATGTCCATGTATACATAGTGAATTCAATAAAGCAAAACAATATTCTTATGCAGTACTTTTCTTTCCCTTTTCCTTTCCTTCGATCATTCAATCTTTTCACTCTTCTTATTCTAGGCTGTTCAATTTTGACAACTAAACTACTGAAGCTGGTTATTACCCCACTGCTATGATATAAAAATACAGTATCATTTATAACTAAGGAAACATAATAATGTATATGATCTCCTAAACATTGAAAAGTTAGAAAAAGTTGTCTTAATCACTATCCATTAACAATCCAACAAAAGGCCACTATTTATTAAAACTGTATGATATCTTCACCAAAAACTAAATAAGTGAAAGAAACAAAACGCATGTTAGCTAGCAGTACTCTATACCAGTATCTCACACTAGGAACCCCGACACAACTCAGACAAGTATTTTCTATCATTTCTTCTTGTCAAGTTAGAAAAGAAATCGGGCATGGATGCTAAAGAAAAAGAGAGACAAAACTGAAAAAGAACAAAAGAAAATAAGACACTGTAAACATTACTATATGTCCAAAATTTACATCTCATGTATAGATTGCAATACAACATGAAAAGAAAAGAAAAAAAAAAAAATAAAGTACTGACTCAAGAAGAGCAAGCTAAGTAGTAAGCATTGGCGTAATTTTCGAGAAACAAAATCACTCACTCCCTCCCTAGTTTCCCCACAAGATCCAATCATATATAGTTGACATAAGGCATGGTTAACTTGCTTACAATACTTCTACACATTAAAACCAACCTCAAACCTGAATTTTAATGTGCTCATTTTGCAACCTTGACTCACTCAAGAAACACAAGCAAACAAGACATGACTCAACGGTTGTGGAGAGGATCTGATGCATTAGGAACCTTTCTCTTCTGTGGGAAGTACACGCCAAAGGGGTAACGTGGAGGGTGGTGTTGGTGCAGCTTGGGCTGCTTCTGGGGCATGTTGTGAGGGTGGAAGTGGTGTTCAACAAGAATTGAAGGGTGTTGTTTTTCAGCAGTGACTTGGAGCGTGAGGAGAAGAAAAACCATGAAGCTCTTGAACCCCCCAAGAAGAGAGCAGTGGTTAAAGAGCATGGTTTGGTTTGGTGGGTTGTGAGGAGAGGAGGGGGTGGTAAGACTGATGCATAGATACATATATTGGGTGCAGCGGTGCAGGTGGAAAAAGGTTAGAGGAATTGAATGAAGGCAAAGGGCACTTGATGATGGATGGTCTGAGATGAGAGAAAAAGCTAATAGCCTTTGTTTGAAGGGAAAAAGGTGGTGCAGTGTTTTCAGGAGGAACATTATTTTCTTCACAACAGTTAATTCTTGTTATAATGATTTCTTTCTTTATTAATAAACGTGGTAGAATGAGGTGAGACAGCTTTGATAATGACATGTATGATGTAGGACTCTTATTCATTCTGAGAAAGAAAACACAGAAAGAGAAATTGAAAAAAAAAAAAAAAAAACAATACAAGACAAATATCTGAGAAATCAAATAATAGAACATTTTCACTTTCACTATTCTATACCACTAAACAAAACGTTAGAGAATTACTATACATGAATCATAAGCAGTTCTCTCAGCATGTTAACTACTGTAGTAGCTTATAGATGTCCTAAGAATTTTCTGATAAAGTTTATCAAACAAGAAAAATAATGTCAAAAGATTCAAACCAAACTCATAAAAAATATCGAAATTTTAATCACTTGTAACAACTCCCATTTACAGTTGTAAGAATGTCTTCACCCATGAACATGTCACATCTGAACTGTTAACTTTTTTGTAACGCGTATAAATTATGGTTAAACATGGTCATATAAACAAATAGATTATTGCATATGTTTTCATAATGGTCACACTGAAACAAGGAGGCACATGTTACGAGAGGACTTTTGTGACTCAACTCACTTTTGCTTTAACATATTCTGTGTGTTTCACGAGAAGTCTTTTTCTCCAGCGCTGCTGCTTCTCATTTTCTTTCTCGCTTTCAGTCCCCAAAATAAGGGTCACTTCTCCAAAGTCCAATTTCTATGGCCTATGTATCTTTTGTATTCAGATTTTGGCTCTTGTGCTTTTCTTTACTTCCTTGTCGGATTTCTAAAGCACCCAACTCTTGCTTCTTATAGCCACTTCTGCTATGCGCAGGACCCATTTTCCACTCTTTCTAACCTAAATATCAACAACTTCTTCTCTTCAACTTTCGGGTCCCTTTAGCCATAGCTTTTTCATCTTTCAAAAAATATGAATGACACAAACCTGGTTAATAATAGCAACTCCATTCTAAATTCAATAAATGGCTCATTTTCTTACTCAATTTTCTCTCTCACTCATTTTTTGTTGGAAAACGTGAATTGGGTCACGCTTTATATCAAAGTTGAGTTATATATAAAAGAAAATAACTTTAAAAAAAATAAAATCTGAACTTTAATATTTTGGTTCAATGGCGTTTATAGTCAAAATGGTGTTTTTTCATTTAGATGCAATTTTTTCTAATTAATCTTAAAATATTAATAAATAAATAAATAATCTTTAAAAATTATTTTTATATTTTTCTTTTTTAATATATTTTTAAATTTATTATCTAAATTAAATTATATTTTATTATAACATAAAGGAATTATAAAAAGTTATTTGGAATGAAAAATAGTTATGAGAAATTGAAATTATTTTTAAAAATTTCATTTTGATTTTTTAAAATTCTAGGTCTATATTAAAACGTTTATAAAAAATATCAAACTAACCATTTTTTCTTAAATTTTTTTTAAATTTTGTCACAATTTATCGATTTATTCTTATTCTATTCTATTAGTAAAATAACATGATGAGGCTTCTTTCTTATGTTTAGAAAAGAAGCCATATAATAATTAAAAAAAACATTATTCCATTACAGTAAGTAACAAAGTTTTTACTGTCATCGTAGAACGACAATGTTTCATTACAGAATTTTGCAAAACTACGTATTTTGTTACGAACGTTGAAGTAAAATGTGTAACCATTTAAAAAAACATGATGTTTAATGTCCAAAAAATGCTTAATATAAAATATGGAGAAATTGAAACCACAATACTAAAATAAAATATAAAAAATAGATAGTAAAATTCGTAAAATAGTAATATTACGATGATAGATGATAAATTTCTAGCTAAGAAAAAAATATTAATATATTCATAAAATATAATATAATAATCCAATCTTTTTAAGGACTAACAGTACAACTTTATGTAACGTAAAAGCTACACCATGTAGCATACGGGGGAGGGGTTCTGGTCTTTGAATATGGGCTCAAACACCAACGTAATCGTTTTTAAATTTAAAATTAATTTCTCCACCTGTTCCTTTTGGTGTCTCAATCTAGTGATTAAGTCATTCTGAAAAAGTTTCATGGTGTAAGAGAAAAAAAAATTGAAAAAATCATGTGTGGAAAAAGATAAAGTAAAAAAAAAAATTATTTAGTTGAAAAAACATACAAAAGAAGTAAAGTGAAAATCATTTTTTTTTAGATTATTTAATTCAATAAATAGTTGTTATTAGTAGTATTATTTTAATTATTTTTATTTAGTTTTTATTTTTATGTCTATAGAAGATAAAATAATGAATTATATTTTTTGTCTCACAAATTCTTTTATTCATTTTAATTTATATAAATATTTTTTATTCATGTATTAATGAAAAATGTTTTAATATATTTACAAGTCCAGTTTAGAAGTGTTACTTTATATATATTTTTCTTCTCTTAACCTATCAATACATCATTTATAGATAAAATAGTGACGGATGAAAGTTTTAAAACTAACAATGTCTCTAGTCTTATATCACCTAAGAGTCAAGATAAAAAATAATTTATATATACTTTCTTCTGTCAACCTATAAAACATTCTTTAAAAATAAAATTGTGATTAACAAGAATTTTAAAATAGATAATTATGAAATCAAACATTCTCGTTCATAAATAAAGAATAAAGATTTTTTATTTATTTATAAAAAAAGTGTCAACAAAAAAAAAATTTAAAATAAAAGATTTAGTTGTCGTTTTATTAAGGTGTAATGTATTAAAATATAAGAAAAAATAAAGTTAAATTAAAAACTACCAAAAAATGATAGATAAAAATATAAGAGGTTGACTGAGCCTAGGCATGGTCCATGATTGGCCTCTCATGTTTTATATAAAATTATTTTCCATTGATTGCATGGCGTATTGGCATGCAAACGCAAAGACTCTTTCGAGTGGAAGGAGTTGTTTACAGTGAGTGTGTGGGTGTGAGCATGAAAAATGAATTATGTGATGTGAGTAAGTGATGTTTGGTTAAAGTTGTGGAAGTTTTGAGTGGTCATGTCATGCGTTGGGCAAAATGCCTGAATAAGTGGCTTGATTGTGGATTAAAACCCAAAGGGTATATGGTTGAGTCCTGAGTTTCCGTGACAGGGGGTCTTTTCTTCTCCCAAACCCATCTTTCTAAACTTAATAATTATATTTAAATAGATTCCTGTCCATTCTCTGTTAATGCAGGTTTTGGATCTATTCTCATTCTATATGTATCCTACTACCCTACTCCTACGCCTTATCTTCGCTACGGATGCGTAACGTCCATTTTTTTTTTTAATCTGAGTTTTTGAGTTTAAGCGTTAGTCAAATCATGACGAAAAATAAATAAAATTAACTAATTTATAAGTTAGGTCGAGTTTAGATTATAAATAATATTATTAAAATAACTATTAATATTTTTTTTTCACGACGTTCTCCTTACAAATATAAAGATGATTTTTTGAAAAAACTTAAATCCTTTACATAAAAAAAAACAATTTTCTTTATAATTTTACACTCTTTGTTTATAAAAATTTCAAAAATAATATATATAAATTATTCTTAATTTTTACGTTATAAGTGGTGATAGACTCGTAAATATACTCGATAAATATAATTTTTTTTATTGAAGAAGTGAAAAATATCCATAATATAATTTATTATATCGTGTTATTTTATATAATTGATTTTATATATTATTGTTAAGAATATCTCTATTTTAATTGTTTGATAAATAGTTAAAAAAACTCATCCTGTGTCACATGTTTAATGGCGCATAAAAAATGAGTTATGCATTTTTCAAATTTAATAACTTGTATACGTACGTAGTTCTATAAATACTTAAAAAACATCTATAATAAGTGTGAGAATAGTCAATATACTCAATCCTTTCTAAACCTCCCAATATAATACTAATTAATGAAATCGATTTCTCAGTGTATGTTCTCACCAACTTTTTCCATTTTATTTTATTTTTTTCATTTGCTTTCACACGAGCTAATTGTTTTTTTTTAATGTCTCCTATTAAAAATAATAAACGAATTGAAATTAAGAATAATTTAAATACATTATTCTATTTGAATTCACGTAAATGAAACGATAGTTTTAAAGTGAATAATACTTCAGATGTAACCAGCGGTAAACAAAAATTAGACACTCTCAATCTTTAATAAAAAAACATGTCCTATTTTAAAATTCGTATATTTTTTTATTTCTTAGTATCTTTATATGAAAAATTTTCTAAAAATAAACATCTCTATTTTATTATAAATTTGATATAAAAATTGTTTAAATTTTGGTGAGAGTTATTTATATAAATATTTTTTTTAATTTTAAACCACTTATATATAAGATTAAAAAACACATTTTATTAATTATTTTCTGAAACAGCACTTTTTTTCCATACTAAAAAAACCGAAAACTAGTTTCAAAATAATAAATAAGTATGTCTTTAGTAATTATTGATATTCATATAATTATCTTACATGTTTAAATCCATAAATTTATACCATTTTTTAGTTGGTGGTATACATTAATGGTGTTTGATTAACAAGTATGTTGAATATTTTTTAAATTACTAGTTATTATTAAATAATTCATTAATATTTTTTTAGGTGAATTTATTTTATATTAAAAAATAATACAATACATTTTTTCATAAAACAATTAAAATTACAAATTCTTATAAAATCCACAAAATATAATTTATTTAAATCATTTATCTAAATACTTAAATGATGGTGGACAAGTTACATTAGGTTAGCTTCTACTAAATCAATTATTTCACTTAATTAAAAAATCTATAATTAGGTTGAATTAGTGTTTATATTGTTTATTAGATCTAAT